TTATACTAAACACTATGTATCTAAAGGGTTTTGTTGTTCCGTTTTTACCAAGTGGGGTCCTAGAACCCCTCTCCTCAAGACGTTGCTCCACCACTTAAAGTATAAGTAAAAAACTAATGCAAATGGATTACGGGATTCTGCTAGCATACGCCGAAATCTACAAACAAAGAAGTACATTGAATCCAATAATCCTCCCAAAACGAGATTCATCCACATATGAATTGCATCTAACTTGACCCATCCACTTTTTTCCAAGTAATATCAAAGTACAATAGTTAGATCCTCTACCCAAAACCCCAAAGCGATCATTAATGTGGCCACCCTACAAAATCAAAGGAAGCTATCTCTACAGGGGAGAGCAGCAGGGCTTGTCTTGCCACTCTATGGGCAGCCTAGTTGGCAGTCCTCGAGACCGAACTAAACCGAATACAAGAAGAACAAAAGATCAACAACTGGAGACAATCACGAAATAAGGGCCCGCCCACCGAGTCTTCACAGCATCTTCCGTCAATCTACCGAATGACCACTTCAGAGTCTCCTTCAATAATGACATGGGAGATGTTGCAGAAAAGCACTAAGGATAAAGCGTCCCTGGCCGCAAGCAGCTCTGCAAGGTAAGGATTCGAAACTCCTGGATGATGGAATCCCAAGGCCAGCAAGACTTGCCCACTCGAGTCTCGAGCGACGAGGCCTGACGAACATCCCGAATCGTGAACATCAGCATCAAAGTTGATCTTTAGAAAACCTTCAGGAGGAACAACCCAACTGGAGAGATGGAAGGACCGGACGTGGGGAGAAGGGGCCTGGGGAGGAAGGGGGATTGAGGAGTATTCTTGGACTTGGAAAAAGAACTGATGGGCAAGGGACCTGGCTAGTGGTTGAGTGAATTCAAAAACCACTTTATTTTTAGATTTCCAGATTCTCCAAAGAAGATAAATGCAGGGGAGATAGTGGATTTGAAAGTTTTCTGAATTCATAACATATCGCCACCAGATACCGAAATTGTCAGTTGGGGCGGAATGGAGTAGGCTACTTAGAACCACCATATTCCAGAGGTGTAGAGCAAGAGGACAGTGGAAAAAAAGGTGTTCAATATTCTCCTGGCTATCCCAGCAAACTAGACAATGAGCTTGGCAGTTAATTCCCCGGGATCTAAGAGCCACCATAGTTGGTAATATTACTTTCAAACATTGCCATATAAATAACTTGAGCTTTGGTGGGACGTCAAGAGCCCACTTCCTTTTCCAGACCGGAGGATCAATTATGGAAGCCATCGATTTTTGGCTAAGCGCCAAGATATTTTCCAAGGCAAGATGGTATCCTGTTTTCACAGAATAAGATCCATTTTTTGTAAAGTGCTAGATTAGCTTATCTTGTTGTGGTAAAATGGGAACTACCATTGTTCTAATGAGTTCAACTGACTTGTCTTTGAACTAATGTCTTAGTTTAGGGACATGTCATTCCTTTAGTCCTTCTCTGATGAAAAATGCTACCTCAGGTTGTTGTTGCTCTCCGGATGCCTAAGCTCAGGAGGACTTGGTTTATCATCTAGTAGCCAATTATCTTTGAAAGCTTCTATATTGTTTCCATCGCCCACCTGCCATCACATTCCTTGTAAAAGGAGGTCTTGCCCAAACAGGATACTTCTCCATCCCCAAGATGGGTTAGAGCCAATGAAGGCTTTCAATATCGAACTTTCGTTGAAGTATCTTCCTTTATGCAATCGACTAAGAAGTGAGTCGGGTTTTGACCATATGCGCCAACAAAGCTTGGCTAGAAGAGTTTGGTTAAAAGTCCTAAAATCTCTGAAGCCTAGACCTCCATGAAATTTACTTTGAGCAAGACCTTTCCATGATACCCAGTGAAATGGATTATCAAAGTTATGAGCGAAACCCCACCAAAATCTTGCCATAAGGCCATTTAAATGTCGACAAGTGTCCACTGGGAACTTAAAGCAGGACATACCATGAACGGGTATATTGGTTGCCGAGGTCCTAATTAGAGTGTCTTTAACCGCCTTGGAAAGGGTTACTGTTTGTGCCTGGATCGTCCTAGGCGGTTGTGTGAGACTTCACAACCTTCGAGCGCCTTCGGTAGATGTGAGGTGGTCTCCGAGCTCCTACTAGAAAGGTCCTCAGGGGTTACCTGGGACCTCCTCCGATGCCTAAGTTAGGGAGAGAAGTGAATAAATATGAATGAGAGAGAGAATTTGGTTGGTTGGAGTTACCATAAATGCTGCCCTCTTGGGGCTATTTATACTAACTTGGACTTGGGGATTGAGACATTAATGCTGTGTCAGGAGGTCTCGTACGCCTCTGGACTCATTAAATGCTATGTCAGCGCGAATGTCTGACTTTCTCTGGCCAACAGAGCTTCAGTCCTTCTGTCGGGCGATTTACTGACGAGTGTGTACGTTAGTGTCGAACGGTCACTATGACAAGTATGGGGTAGACCGCCCTGGTCTGGCTTAGCTCTCTATGGGCTTTGTAACCATGGGCCTCAGGCCCACGTATGTCAATACTTGGCCCAACATTTTCCCCTTAGTCGTGAGAAGCATTGGGTTGTCGCGACTATTATTCTACTGGCTTGGTGCGGTTGAGTGATAGGCGGTCCATGGTTACATGTTTGCCCCTTGCCGCGGTGAGCTAAAGCGGGGTACGACTATGGGGTGGTCACAACGCGAAGCGCCCTGCCCCTTGCACCAGCGCTGCCACGTGGCCTGCTTTGGGAGCGGTGCATTGTCAGAGGCTATCCGAACGTCACCTCTGACAACTTGGGCCTCGAGTTTTACTATAAGTGGTTTTGAGATCACTTTTGTCTGCCATTTTCGCTTCTATTTGCAAGAAACTCTTGTCTTTTTCCTCCGTTCTCCTCTGTGACGCGATTTGGAGCTCTGGTTTCCCGGCGAGCTGTGCTATAAAATCGTATTTTTCCCTGTAAGTGTTGCTCTTTCGTGGTTTATGGGGTGCGACCCCTCTTGTTTCTTTTTTGCTCTTTGCACACTATCGAGACGCTGCCCCTGTGTCGCGCGTCGGACCCCGTCGTTCTTCCTATGTTGTTGCAGATGTCGATGGAGGGTCAAAACTCACCGGTCGACAAAGTGAGCCAAGGAGCATCTGCCGCCGGAGCTCTTGGTGGTGGGCCTACCGCGGCGGTGAATTTTCCTTCCGTCGTTGCCTCGAGGACTACGCCCCTTCCTTCGCTTACTTCGGAGAGGGGATTTGGGACCTACCGCGCCGCCGACCTCCGCCTCACTTGGGAAGAAAGTGGCAGCGTCTACTGGGGGTGCGACCCCTGTTACGCAAGGTACGATTCGTTCTCCTCCCGCTCGAAGCGTTTCCGAGTGCGTGTTTGACCTATCAGGTCTGGGCTTGTACTTTGGGAGCGGTACGGAATTAGACGATTGTATTTTTGGGGGCTCCTTGGGCTTAGATAATTTTCTTGCTAACACGCGCCCTGTACCAGTTGGGGTTGTTGCAACTTCTTCTGCGGTTGGGGATAATTTGGGTGATTTTGGGGCGATAGATTTAGATAGCGGTTCATTGGGTGAAGAGGAGGCAGTAAGTAGTGACAAAGTGCGTTCCGAGGCGGTTCCTAGTACCTCTTCATCGCTGGAGGTGGTTGACTCCGAGGGGGAAGAAGTGTTGCGGTTAGCGATCGAGGACGCAACATACACGATTTTGCAGCATGAATGTATGTGGGGCGGTCAACCGGTGCCCCCGGAGGTTTTTGAGTATGGACCTGAGTATGAGGCGACTTTGAGGCCTTCACAGGTCTCCATCGGCCGAATGCCTTAGGCCTTCCTCCTGAGTGGGATTATGCGGCCCCTTCCGAAAAAATGCAGATCAGGGTCATGCCCTGAAGGTTGGATCCCAATTTTTGTGGAGCACGTGAAGTTGGGCTTGCGGTTCCCTTTGGAACCCATCTTGACACAGACGCTGTACTGGCTAGGATGCACTCTTGGAAGCCTCTCGCCTACCATTATCTTCCACTCCGTCATGTATCGGCATGCGTGTAGCAGCCTGAAGGAGACACCTTCATTTGGTGCGTTCCGGCTACTGTATAAGATCCGAGACTCGACTAATTGCTGGTCTATCAGTAGGCGGGAGAGCGCCATCGGCTTTGTATCGGGATCGCCCAAGCTGGACTCACCTTGGTACAGGGAGTACTTTTTTGCCCGTCCAACGGGGCAGTGGTACTCAGGTGGGACCGCTCCTCCAACATGGTACGCGGTTGGATCAAAAGACTCCTGGTTTTCGTCAACCCAGTTTCCTTCGGCGGTGAGGGATCATGTGAACCGCCTCACTGATGGTTTTCAGTTGCTCGTGTTCCCCAGCGGCTCGAGGAGCGCGTATGAGCATGTTCGCGATTTTATGGTTAGTAGCGTATGTCCTTTGTTGTTTTGTTCCCCTTTTCTCATTTGGGTTTACTTATGCTTTTTTCTTCCAGGGTTGAGGGCCTTGGCGGATGCGGTTTAGCCGAAGAAGAAAAGGGTGGTGGTGAAGGTGAATTATCCACGGGGAGCGGGTCCCTCAACGACTAATGTAGCTACGACTAAGCCTGCCGTTCAGCCTCAGCATCAAGGAGCGGCCTCTCCAGGTGCGGTTACCCGAGGTGCGGGTAAGAGGTTAATGAAGCCTTGCGTTCCCATCAGCGTTGCCAAGCGGTCGAGGAGTAATTCTCCGCGTTCGAAGGTGGGTGAGAATCGTGGCAAGGGTGTGGCCCCTTCTTTGAAGCTAAGTCAGATTGACCTGCCTCCTCAGGCGGCCACTGATGGTGAGGCGGCTGAACTCGCCTTCCATACCATCTGCGACCAGCTTGTTATGCCCCCTCAGTATACTGCCTCATCGAGTGGCAACAACAAGCATCTTGCCGGGATTGCCACTCAGTTCTTCTTTGCGATACGCTTGTTTTGACTGGCTTTCGTGACTGTTGAGAATTATTTGTTTACTTCTTTATCTCGATGATTTCAGGCTCAGGTTGGGTTTTCCCAAATTCTCATGAATAACGACCGCCTGTCGAAGACCGTTGACGACCAGGCTGTGGAGATTGCCAAGCTGAAGAAGAGCTCAAGTGAGGGGAGGGAAGCGCTGATGGAGGAGGTCCACCCACTGTTGGAGCGGGAGTTTGAGGAGCGGTTGACTCTTAAGGACAAAGAACTCAGTTTGGAGAGGGAAGCGGTCAAGAAGGTTCGTGAGGAGCGGGACCAATTGCAGGAGCATGCGAGGAAGTCCGGCGAGATGGAGAAACTATTGCTAGAAGAACAGGAATCTCTTCGCAAGGAGATAGAGTCTTTGAAGTTGGAAAAAGCGGCCTTGCAGAAGAGCCACCAGACGGAGCTGGAGATCGCCCGCGCTGAAGCCGGTCCGGCGTACTTGGAGTCAGATGAGTTTCAGGCTATCGATAATGAGAAGTATAAAACCGTTCTTGGCAACGCGGTTGCCGCTATCCGACAATGGTTTCGCATGGATCAGCCTGAAGCGGTCTGGAGTACTGACGAGATCTAGGACGCCATTTGTGCATGGTCAGAGGCGGACGTGAACTCCGAGAATGAGGAAGAGGGAGGAGAGGGAGCTTCTCCTGATGCTGGTGTTGAGGGTGATGGCGGTTCCCGCAATCTGTGAGCGGCGGCTTGTTTTTGTTTGTAGTTTTCAGTTTGTGATTTTAAAACAATGGATGATTGGCATTTGTTTGACGTCCCTTCACTTCGGAAGGCGTCCTCCTTTTCGTTTGACTATTATGTTATTTATGCGGGCTGGTTCTGTTGACAGCCGCTCAACATTAGTTATGTGTTTGGATTTGTATCTGAATTGCTTAGCCGCGTGACTGGTTTCATTAGTTTAGGCGGTTGATGTCGCTTTTAATTTCATTGGCGATTCTGGGGGCCGTTGGTCACACGTTGGCGTATGCCTTAACGGAACGAGCGATTATGCTTGCAAAAGGCTGAGAAATTGGCCGAAAAGTGCTTCAGTGTATTTCATGAGCAAAAGAGGTTGCTGTGGTGGCCAACGATACACTATTACAAGGGCGGGTGTGTACCCAGGCCCATCAAAATATCAAAGGGACAACAACAAAGAGTTACTCAGGCCGCCGCCGAGTAGTACCTCCTCAAATGCATGCTATTCCATATCTTGGGCATGGAGAGACCTTCCATGGTGGCAAGCCGAAAGGTGCTAGGACCTGTTTTTTCGCCAATAAGGAATGGTCCTTCCCAAGTGGCCGCCAGCTTCCCGTGCTCGTCTTTTCGCTAAAAATCGGCCACCTTCGCTTTTTCACTGACGATGCATTCCAGGGCTACATCCCGTCTTGACTCCACCATGTCTAGTTGCTCTAGCAACCTCCGTTGATTGCTCTCGGGGTGGTATGCTTGAAAACGAAGAGAGGGTAGATTCAGCTCTTCCGGGGCGACCGCTTCGGACCCATAAGTGAGTGCGAAAGGTGTTTCACCAGTGGCCGTTTTGAAGGTCGTTCGGTGCGCCCATAGGACGTGCGGGAGTTCACTCGTCCATGACCCTTTGGCGTCTCCGAGACGCTTCCTTAATCCTTGCAGGATAAGCTTGTTGGACGCCTCGGCTTGACCATTTGTCTATGGGCAGGCCACCGATGTCATAGTACATACAATGCGGTTTCTTGCGTAGAAGTTTTCAAACGATCGGCAATCAAATTGTGTGCCATGATCACTGACGATTGACTGCGGGATGCTGAAGTGGATCATGATATTGTTGAACACAAACTTCTGAACCTTGGCGCTAGTGATGGTTTCCAGTGGTTCTGCCTCGATCCACTTGGTAAAGTAGTCTACGACCACTATCATGTATTTCTTGTCGAGAGGAGCCGTGGGGAAGGGTCCTAAGAGATCAAGACCCCACCTGGAAAACGGCCATGGACCAACTACACTTTGTAGCTCCGAACTGGGCAGGTGGTGCTTGGAAGCGTGTACCTGGCATGTGTGGCAATTGAGAACGACGTCTGATGCGTCCTTCTTGATTGTCGGCCAGTAGTAACCCTGCAGGAGAATTGTCCTCTCAAGCGATTGAGGTCCCGCATGTGTGGCACAAGTCCCCTGGTGGATCACTTTCAAGGTCCACTGCGCCTCTTCTTTGCCTAAGCATTTTAAGTAGGCTCCCGAGAATGACCTTTTGCATAGTTGACCATTTATGATTCAGTATCGAGCAGCCCTACCCTTAAGCGCCTTTCTTTCTAATGGGTGCTGAGGAGCGACATCATGTTCGAGGTATTGAATCAAGGGAGTCCTCCAGTCAGCTGCCTCTTCAATGCTCATGACCTCCTCCCGTGGATCGCTCTCCTTAGAGACGGTGACGTGTCGGTCTCCTTCAAAGTCCATGGCGGTTGCGAGTTTGGAGAGGGCATCAACATGTTGATTGTCTTTCCGTCGTACGTGGTCGAGCTTCCATGTGTTCAATTGCCCTAGCGCGCTACTTACTCGGTTGGCCAAGACCGCCAACTTCTCATCCTTGATTTCAAAGATTTCGTGCACCTTCTTGACCACTAGTAGGGAGATAGAAAATATGTGAACGTCAGACACTCCTAGGTTGGAAAGTATTCTGAGCCCGTTGATGAGTGCCTCATATTCGGCGACGTTGTTGGTCTTGATGTCCTTGAACCTTTGAGAGATCTCATGGAACATCCCTTCCGGTGACTCGATGACTATGCCAGCACCTGAGGCAGTCTTCCTGGCCGCGCCATCAATGAACATGCGCCATATTCGCTGTTGGTCTTCCGACGGGGCGGCCTCGAGGGAGAAACCTTCCGCGATGAAGTCAGCGAGTACTTGACCCTTGATGGCGGGTCGAGGGGCATACTCGATGTCGTACTCGCTGAGCTCTATTGCCCACTTGGTCAGCCGCCCTGAGGCGTCCATCCCCCTCATGATGCTTTTCAGCAGAAGATGAGACAGAACCGTGATGGGATGTGCTTGGAAATACGACCTTAGTTTTCTTGCCGCGGAAGCTACGACAAGGACGGCCTTTTCTACTGGCATATATCGGGTCTCGGCGGGAAGGAGTGATTGGCTCACGTAGTAGATGGGTTGGTCGGAGCCGTCCTGTGCCCTTCTCACAAGAGCAGAACTTACGCCTTGTTCCGAGACCGCCAGGTACAAGTAAAGCCGCTCCCTGCTAACGGGAGCGCTCAAGACTGGTGGGTAGCCGAGTTGGTTAGTCAGTAATGCGAAGGCTTTGTCACACTCGGCACTCTATTGCAGCCTTGAAGCCGACTTGTTCAGCATTTGGAAAAATGGTGAGCACTTGTCTGCTGATCGTGGGATAAATCGCCCAAGCGCTGCCATTTTCCCGTTGAACGCTTGAATCTCCATGATGGTCTTTGGCGGCTTCAAGCTGCGTATGGCCTCGATTTGCTTTGGCTTAGCCTCTATTCCCCTCTTGGTGATCATGAACCCGAGGAACTTCCCTGCCTTGGCTCCGAAGACGCACTTGAGGGGGTTGAGTGACTTGCTATGACACAACTCCTAACAAAGGCCAAGTGTAACCAATGAAAGGGACTGCAGTATAGTGGCTCAAGTAATAAATATCGAATCCACGGGTCTCTAGAGTTACTATTACTCAGCTTCAGTTTATGATTTAGCAAACCAGATTAAGATGAAAGAACTATAACTACTCTAGTAAACTATAGTTAAAGTTAATCTAATTACAGGTTGGGAACTCACTTAGGTATGATTCCCCCTAGCCACTAGCCAGACTAACGATTGATGATCTCTAACCTGTTTCACTTTCATTCACAATGCGGAGAATCCTTGACTAGACCTTGAGTCTCGACTAAAGGAACAAGGCCCTCTTGAGTCAATTGCCTAGAGGAACGTATCCTTCTCTAGAACAACCGATCAAGGCGTTCTGAACTAGACTCCCTCTATCGAAAGAGGTTCTCAATCGATACAAAGCATTGAACCAACCCTCGACTAAAGCAATCGATCCACTACTATCAATCTATGGTGCTCTATTGACCTAATCAGGTATTCGCTCTCATAGGATCAAAGCAGAATCAATAATCTCGACTAAAGCAGAATTGAATCATGAAAATATGCATAGATTGAATATGAACTCAAGCTTATCAAGTCAGAGTACTCATACAATCATCCAATCAAACAAACATAGCTAGGGTTCCTCAAAACCTAAGTGAAGGGAAGTTACTCCATAGAGAAGAGAGAGACTGCAGAAATCTGATCTAGATCTTCCATCTCCATCTCCAAGCTTGATTCCCGAGCTCCAATGGCAAAAAAATCCTCCAAAATAGCTCCAAGAATGTTCCCAAGTCGCTCTCTCTCTCTAGGGTTCGTCCCTTGGGTGTTTGGGATCCAAAACCCAGCTCTCTCTTTCCTTTGGCTTCAATCTGCCTAAAAAACCCGATTCTGGGCAAAACACGATCGAGGACACGGCCGTGTTTTGCCCCGAGAAGCCCTCGTCAGCCAAAACACGGTCGTGCCTAAATATGGACACGGCCGTGTTTTGATTTAGGCGTGCCCGTGTTTTTACTGCCGAACATGTTCCCCTATATTCAATGCTTCGTTTCTCCCTTGTCCGGACTCCGAATCAGTCGCCGTTTGATCCCAGACGCTTGTAGTCTCGTCGTTTTTTTTATGACAAGCTTGCATGATTCTTTGTCCATAAAGTGAGGTAGAAATCCATTCTTCTTCAGGTCATGCCCGAGTTTCTTCTCCCTAATCGCCAATTGATCTCTGATTGACTTGAAAGTTGCGCCTATGCTTCACTTTATGTGCTAGGACCTGAAATGTGACAAAGGAACACAACCTAGCGTAAAATAGGCCAAAGACGCGATAATTAAAGCTCAAACGATCAAGAAACAAAGGGGAAAACATGTGCAAATATCGAGTCATCATTGAGCCTCAGATTCCTTCGTCTTAGCGTCTCGAACGTTTCTCGTAGGTCGGATAGGTGGTCTCCCGCTTTCTTGCTCTTGACTAGAACATCATCGAAGTAAGCCTCCACATTCCTCCCCATTTGGTCCTTGAAGACCGCATCTACCATTTGCTGGTAGGTCGCGCCATCGTTTTTCAACCCGAATGGCATGACCACGTAGCAGAAGTTACCCATGGGTGTAATGAAGGCAGTGAGCTCCTGGTCGCCTTCGGCCATTCGGATTTGGTGATATCCTGAGAACATGTCCAGGAAGCTGAGCGCTTCGTGATTATCGATTCCATCTATGAGTTAGTCGATGCGAGGTAGAGGATACGAATCTTTGGGACATGCGGCATTGAGACTTGTGAAATTGATGCACATCCTCCAGGCGCCTCCTGCCTTTCGTATGAAGACTGGGTTTGAGAGCCATGTAGGATATTTCACCTCTCTGATGAAACCGGCTTTGAGAAGCCGTCGCACCTCTTCTTCAAGAGCCATTTGTTTCTCCACATAGATTTGTCTTCTTCGTTGTTGAATGGGTCGCATTCTCTGCTTGACCGAGAGGTGATGCTCTGATATGTGGCGGGGTACGCCTGGCATGTCCTCCCGCCCCC